ACTAGGAGGTAGGATGAAGCAATGCTGATGTGCAGCCAGTGTGAGAACCTCTGAGTTCAAATGTCTTTAGAGCTTATTGGCATTAGAGCTGGGAAGTGACCCTCTCTAGTAGTAAGGAGTACCTATTAAGAAATAAGTTGAAATCACTAAGTATTCTAATTTTCAAAGTTAAAATGAGTGATAATTTCAGTGCTAAATATTATGCCATGATATGAATGCATGAATCTGTATAAAGATACAGGGCAATTCATAACAAAATCTTGTTTTTTTATTTGGCCTGGAATTATCTATCTTTTGATTTTTCCTTTAACTTTTTAAATCAAAGCTATAATGTATTTCTTACAATTTTTAATTTTTTTGACAAATGTTAATTTCAGGTTTCCATTTTATTCTCAGTCCAGCATTTCAAGATATTTTAGTGTTTACCCCTTGACGTTGATTTTGAGCATTTTAAATTGGCTCATTTTAAAAAGTTTTTGTTCAACAATAGCTCATTTAGGACAAATCACTCAAGATTGCCTCTCACATGAATATTTATACTTTAAGATCTCTATTTGACAACATTAAGTTCCGTATTCTGATTTCTTAAACAACCAAAACATATTTATAGATTGATTTTTTAATACCCTTTTCTTTTCTCCATTTGAGTGCACCATGATTAAAAGTTCACAGCCTTGGTTACATTACATAATCTGAGAAATAATCAACAATGCCCCTGGTGATTAAATATTCAAGTTTGCAATTATTTTGTAACTTTTGTTCTGCTCTTCGCTCACTCTAAAAATTATCATAAAATTTTGAAAGATGTCCTCAGTGTAGAATATGTCCATAAAATATTAAATATTCAATTTTCCTCTATCATGGCTTGAAAAATTCATAATTACATGATGATCCACATAATAACTCATTCTGAAAAGTCATATATGGCACTCCCTCTGTGACTGAGTTAATAATTTACTGCTGTGTGGGATTTTCACTCTGCACTGTTAGTCTTGGGAACATTTATTAAGCAAATGTTCATTTGCAAAGATCAGGATGTGAATGAAGAGGGTAAGAATTTAATGAGGAGTGACAGACAGGTGAACTGATTCCATATAGAACTTTAGTGCAAGGGAAAGCAGAGAGCTTTATCTTTCATTGCCTCGATAGACACCTGAAATGAAATATAGAAGACAGAGGGCAGGAGAAAAAAAATGATGCTCTCCTACAGGGGCCAAGGGAGGATAAATCAAGGGAAGCGAAGAATACGATTCAGGCCATTGGAAAAGATGCCATTGAATGTGACGCTTTGAGCTTATGTAGCAGGAGGGTTGCTGGCTTTTTATTTTAAAGGCACCAAATGCTGCCAAAGAGAATATTTCACATATCTTTTTTCTTTTGGTATTCCAAATTTTCATTGACAGTAGCTTGAGTGACCAAAGCATGCAACTGAATAATGAGTAGTCAGGGAAAGAAGTTTCCCTAGGACTGGTTGTTTTAGAGCTTGGGGTTGCTTATAGAGACTTTTGGGAAAATCATGTTACTTAAATAAAGATCTAAAATTATTATATAACAACTGGGAATAAACTTTAGAAATGAATAATCCATATTTTCTTAATTGGCTCAATCCTGTAGAGATATAAGCGATGTGAATGAAACCAGCAGATTGTGTCTGATTTATAAATAATTACATCCTGTGGTAACTGTGATGTTACCTTTCCATGTTTGTGTTGGGCAGATCTTGGAGTATTCACAACAGCAGTAGGTCACCAGAGAGGTCATCAGATGGCACCAAGAAGGAAAACTGCCCGATTACCTTATTATTACATTACTTTCTGACTGTTACATGTTGAGGCTTGATGAAAAGGATGTAGAACCCACACATAGGTAACTTCTCTACCATCTTAACTTCTTTTTGGAATATGGTGAGGGTTAAGTAAATACATAAGTGAAAAAAACTAAAATAAATTTACACTAAAAAATAAGAGACCACACTACATACATATTGTTTGAAATTTATTGACGACTTATCTGTAATCATTGGTTCTAATATCACCACACTTCAGTTTTTTTTACCTGCAATAAGTTATGAAAACCAGAGTGAGTCAATGAGGATGATATAAAAAAAAGGATCAAATTTTGTTGATTGGAGATAAATTTAATTTGCTTATTTCCCTTTAAAAGCTCAAGGTTACGTTTGATATCTTTGACAGTGTTGAATTTTGAGCCCTGAGCCCTGTGCTCCAGAAAAAGAATGGAGGTGAAGATGTACACAGATGTAAGCGGACCCTGGTTCAAGTCCTGGCTTTGCCGTTGGTCGGCTGTGTGACCATAGACATGTTACAACAACTGTGAGCTGTATCCTCAAATGGGAAAATGTGTGTCGTAGACTAGAGACTTCTCAGAATTCTGACAACTCTAAAATTCTGCGATTAGAGAATGATGCTTGTGTTTCCTTATAGATTGATAGAGACAATTCTAGAATCTTTTTTCCTTTTTGTCATCTTATTCTCTTAGAATTCTTTTAGAGACATACGCTGATAGGATTTCAGGTTTAATGTTTTGTTTTATTTCTTTTTATACATATGAAGAGGCTATAGATTCTTGAATTTCAGCATTTATCCTGAGGGTAAGCCAGAAATATTTGTGGTAAAATGTATCTTGGTACTTTAATTTTATTACCTGGAGATGTTTGCCATTTTGACCAATACTAAGTACCAGAGATTTCCCTCCTGTGCAGTTGCCCAGGGTTTAAGATTTGTCAAAGGGCCTGGGTGAAATGCCAGGATGTTACAATTTCAGATACTCAGCTACTTTGAAGAGACGTGTCTTCAAGGTTTTCCTCATCTCGGAGCTGCAAATAGAAGCTGGCCTTAATTCACAATCAGTAAGGAATCGCTGGAATATTTTTTTAAGGTGTAAAGAAAGGCGTGGCTTCTGCTTTTAACTTAAACTCAGCTTTTTAAACCAGGTTCTTCCCATTTTATAAATAGAGGGTAATAATTTTTTGCAGTAGCATATTTTACAGTTATTGTGAATAGGACAAGGAGTCTGTGTTCTGTTTCGCATGCTCTAAAAGGATGAAATATACATCCTATGTATATTTATGTAAGAGGAAAGTATTTAACAACGTTTATTTAAGAGTCAAAATGTGTCTTGTCTTTTGTCTCTACTCTCCTGGGTTTATCCTCATTCTTGTTTTCAGCCTCCACTTTCAAATAATATAAAACCTAAATTCTAGCTTGTCCTTGCTGAAACTCACACTGCATTAATGGTTAACTTACTCTTGTTTGCTACAACAACATCACCAACCCAAGAAAGGCTCAATTTTTGAGACTGATAGAGACTGGAAAAGGATTTCTAACCAAGTTCTCTGAATCCTAATAAGTCAATTTCCTCATCAAAAATATTAGTTACCAAGGTCTAAATGAGATCACTTTCAAATGCCAAGCAGAAATACAATACTTGGTGATCTGTTCCTAAGTAATTCCTCTAACTATAAATTGCAAGATGAAGGAAGGCAGGATTTTTGAACAAAGCACTGAAAAAACCACAAATTGATTGCATCTCTACTTAAAAAGAATGGTTAAAACAAAAACAACAGAAACAGTGGGAGCCGGAGAAACATTCTTCTCAGCTATCAAATACAGTGAGTTGATCATTAATGTGTTCTTGCATGGTATTACCAAAAGCATAAACGCGTATAAAAAATATACACCCCCACATACATGCCATTAAAAGTTGCCAACAATACAAAGTACAAGATTTTGTAACTGCAATGAAAATATTTTGTAGGATATGTAAACTGGAGGCTCCATCGAGTTCCTCAAAAATTATTTGGTTAAAGGGTAAATACACCTTGTACATCATAATGAAAGTCTTATAGGTAGGGGTGGAGATTAACACTTCAGGCTGTCTACAGAATATTAATAAAATTCAATATATTTTCTAAAAGGTATAATTTATATTTTGTGGAAATGAGACCCTTTTCTAATAAAATTCTTCTGTCCTTCATTCTGTTCATATAATTTCGCTATAAATCATCCTGTAGGAATTTTTCCCCCCTAAATATTCATCTCAGGGAGAACCTATTTAAATAAGCCCTCTTAGCAAGATCTTTCAGAATTAAAATTACACCACAAGCGACACTTCATCCAGCATGTTTCCTTCTATAAAATTTTCTTATGCCTAAAATAATATTTTTGTTGGATTATATTATGTTAAAATTGTCGACTTGAGGTGACTTTGATAGTAAAGAAACACTGTGTTAAAAGAGCAGCAAATTATTTTAGCCTTAATTGCACCTTCTCCGAGTCTGTACCATTGCAGCTCCTTTCTGCTCCCCATCTACATATATAGTGAGAAAAACCTAAGGGCATTATTCTCAGCTTCACCACAAAGAAAGAATAAGAAGGAAGAAAAATTGCTGCTGGATATACTAGGTTTCCTTGGTTTCTGGTAAACTGGAGCATTATGCGCCTTCATAGTCATCTGAAGCTAATTTTACTCTGCTGTCTGGCAGTCATTAGACTCAATTCTTTTATTTTATTCCTGATAGGAATATAATAAGTAACTGGATTTCTTAGGATGTGAGGTATAATATGGAGAGAAGATAGATGTTCAGACATTCACACACACACACAAACACACGATACATTAACGTCAGGACCTCGGCAAGGTCTCATGAGGTGGGGGTGGGGTGTTCCTGAGGGAATTACAGGAAGTTTCTCTGGGTCAGACAAGCTGACCCTGCAGAGCTCACAGACGGTTTTGATGGGGATCTTCAGCAAATCTCTTGCTTTTGTACATTATCAAGTGCTTAACCAATGAATGTTCACATGCTTTAATTCATCTGTTTCTTGTGTCTACCCTCTGTGGTAGGTGCAGCCAGCTTTCCCACCCCCACTTTCCATTTGGAAGCGGAGGTTTAGTCACGTTAAGTGACTTCCCAGCGTTAGACAGCTCTCAGTGCTGTTTTCTTCCTTTCTTTCTCTCTCTTTCTTTCTCTATAGCTGATTTACAAAAATATGGACCGCTTCGCAAAGTTGTGTGTCATCCTTGCACTGGGGCCGTGCTAATCTTCTCTGTGTCTTTCCCATTTTAACACCCGAGCTGCCGAAGTGAGCACTTGAGTACTGTTTCCTGACGCAGAGTCCAGGGCTCCACCACTGTGTTTCCGTCCACTCACCTGTTCAGCTTCCTGGGCCCTCTGGGGGCCCTCACATCACCTCGGCCCGCAGCACCAAGTGGGAGAGCAATCAGGGGCTCAGATGAAATGTACACATTTGTTCATTGTGTGCAGCCTCCCCAGTCCTTGCAAGCACTGCAGGCTTGGTAAACCCTGTGTGTAGGATATGGGGCATCACGAGCTGTAGCATAAATATGTTTGCAAACAGAAGTCATTGCCCTTATCATCTGTGACTTCCAAAACCATTTCGTTCCCTAGAGAAGAGCATGGACTCAGAGTAGCTGCCGTCCTTCAGGACAGTTCCCAGGTATTTATCATGGGCCAGCACTGACTATACAGCGTAATATTTATTGGATGCTTACGCTGAGTTGGACAAGGTTCTAAGTATCTGTACATGAATAAACTCACTTAATCCTCACATCAATGTCCTGCCATTATTAGTATTTAGTAATAGTAATTACAGCTGTTATTATCTTCCCCACTTCATAGGTAAGCAAATTAAAGCACAGAGAGTTTAATTACTTGCTCCAAGTCACATAACCAGGATACAATGGAACCAAAAATCTGAACCCAGCCAGAACTTGGGCTATGCGGTGCTGCCTCTCTGGACCTTAGGAGCTGTGCCAAGTGATGAAGAGACAGAAATCAACAAGGTTTCTTTCTCAGTAAATCCAGAGCCTGGATGGGAGACAGATGCATGTGAAGTGCTCTTCCATGTGCGAGATGCCACAGGACAGGCACAGGCAAGGGAGAGTTAACACACACCCTCTAGAGCACCATCCCCAGGGCTTGCAGCGAGGTGTACCTGAATGCAGTGAGGTTTCCACCGAGCCAAGAAAGACAAGTGAGGGTTTATCAGTCTTCAGCACCAAGGAAGCTGATCCCAAGTACCAGGAATAGCTCCTAAGAAGCACAGAGGCAGGAAATGACACCGTGCACCAGAAACTCTCAGATTTTGAGGGCTGTGGCACAGAAAGTCAGGCAGTGATAAGCAGAAATGGAGCTGGATAAGCCAGGTCTTGCCGGGCTTTGTGGACCATGCACAGTAGGTTGAATTTCATCATGGAGACCACGAGGAGCCATGGAAAGGCTTCCAGTAGGAGAGTCGTATGAGGTTTGTGTTCTAGGAAGAGACTCCAGAATCGGTGGAGAAGGATGGATTAGAGGTGGTGGTTGAGATGAGTGGCAGTCAGACCAGTTTTGCAACTTGTTATGAGAAAATGATGGAGACTTTCTGAACTGGGACAATGGTGGTAAGGATTTAAGTGAGAGAGAGAACTCTGGACCTTCATGCCTGTTAATCCTAGGGTTATTCTTACTAATATCATTAGTTTCCTTTAATATTTTGCCCAAGTTGGCTAGGTTATTCATCTGCCTTGGAGGAGATCACAGAAAGATAACATATCCATTTGGATACATTCTGTTCCAAATAAGAAAAATTCAAGTGGAAATGGAATGGCTTAAAGAATGAAGAAAAGTTATTTCATATAGGAAGTTTTGAGTTAGGGCACTTTTAGGTTTGGTTAATTCAGTAGCTCAGTGATAACACCAAGGAATCTTTTTTTTTTCATTTATCTGTTCCACCTTCCACAGTGTCACTTGTCTCCCCTATGTCTAGGTATCCTCATGGTCTCAAAATGGCTGCCACCGTGCCAGGAATCAATATCAGCAAACAGATTAGGGAGGAGTTAAGCCTCTGCTGACACATGCAGATGCATGATATAAAATCAGGGTTCTTGTTTCAGGGAAGACAGAAGGAAGCATTCGAAGAGACAACTATTAGTGCCTGCTCAGAATGCAGGGAGAGGTTAATGTTCAGCTTCTTGTATTGAAAGAACAGGATTGTGCAGCAAGAATCAAACCTTGTGCGCCAGATTATCTGAACAAATGATCTGAATTTCTTCATTGGCTCTCTTGGTGTGCCTTTAGGCAGCTTTAGCAAGTCTGATTGTAGTTTCCTACAAAGGAGGTGTAGACTGGAAAAGGATGGAGAGGGAGACAGTCCTTTTTGGCCCCAGGAGATTGTGGGAAGAAGGAGAGAGGGAGAAGGCAAGTGAGACTGGAGATGTCATCCTTTTTCCCTCCTTGGGATTGGCTTGGGGAAGCGGCAGTGGTGTGGTGTTGTGGTGGCGGGGCACTGGCATTAACCAACCATCAGGAGATGGTGAGAGGGTGAGGCCCGCATTCCATTCCCCTATTTGGAATTCCGAGTGGAGACTGCTCTGCACAGAGCCGCATCGCGTGGGGAGCAGTGTGTTTTGACACAAGATCTCCCTAGCACTCGAGGTTTTCTCAGTTTCACACTGTAGAAGCTAAGCTGGTGCACAGGCGGCCAGCCGTGAGGACAGTACTGCAGGGGGCTCTTCATGAGCCAGGGGATCAGACAGCGGGCGTGGAGGAGACTCAGTGTTTTCCCAGGAGCCAAAAGAATAAAGCAGAAGTTCACCATCTGTGGGACGCCCAGTTGGCAGATGGACTCTTGATACAGCAGAAGCGTGCAGTGCCATCGGGGCACACCAAGGACCAGCATGTCTGCCGCTGCCAGCCTCCATCCTCCTGCACTGCCGTGAAGTCACATGCCCCTTCCTCTTTATAGGTGGAGGCTAGATTTGGGAGAGAAGCAAGGGAGATGTTAGTATCGGAGAGTCTGAACTGACCAAGATGAAGTGTGAGTTAACACTACCACCCTTCCACATTGTCTGCAGACCCTGAGGACAATCAGTCTTCGTAAGTGTGCTAGCTTCTTCCTTGGAGTCTTGGTTCCTCCAGCGTAGTATGACATGTGAGATAAAAGCATGTTTACAACGCATCTGCTCAGCAAAAGAAGGAGAAAAGTGTTTAACAAACCTATATAATATCTACTCTTTCCTGATAAGAATATTGTGTTTCTTCCTATTTATAAGGAAAGGATATTTATTACTAATACAGCATAGCAACTTAATAAAAGGAAGTGTTTGTGCTAAGGAAGTGCTTACTTAGGAAGTATTTTCTGAGATAAGGCCTAATTCTTCAATTGCCATTAATTTGTACCCAATTAAAAGGAGGCATTAAAAACTATAGTGAGTATAAATGAAGAAATCAAGGTGGTGAAGAATCTGGAAACCCTGGGGAGTTTCACCGACAAATGATGAGACAGTGGTGAAAAACTACTGGCCACAAATATAAAAAAGGGTTATGTTGATAAAATCAGATCATCAACACAAATATGCTTTACAGGCTGTAAAGTGTCATGAAGATGTTGGCTTTTTCTATCTTATTTTCTGGAGTTCCAGATGGCAGAAGCAGATCCAATGGGTCAAAAGTATGAGGAAGTAGCCTGCATCTCCATACTTAAAATTGTGAGCTGTCTAACAGAGAAATGTGCTACTTTAAAAATGGCAGCTGAACGTGTTCAAGGGCGGGATGGATTTGTCTTGAAGGCTCCTGTAAGGCTCTAAGTCTCTGCAATTCCAGGAAATGGATTTCCTAAGTTTCTTGGTTCATTTGTGGGTCTTTTCCTCCTGAAATTAAAGAGGTGAAATGATTTACTCCAGGGCATGTATCTGGTAAGTGGTGGGTTTTCCCACCTATGAAGGCAAGTGAACACAGTTTCTAGTTGCTCAGAGTACAGGCGTCGGCCAGCAGCTGCAGCCTCACCTGGGAGCGTGTTAAATGCAGAACCAGGCCCCCCCCCCCCGTGAGTCTGCACGCACACGAAGGTGGGAGAAGCACTGAGTTAGATGCTAGGGGACCTGCTGTAAGCACGCTCGCAGGGGCGGGAGCTCACAGACCCGGAAGACCAGAGCTCTCAGATCCAGAGCATCTTCAGTTCAGACTCTGTCAGGACAAGTAACCCAGACCTCTCAGTGAACCCAGGGCATTTGTTTTGGGTTAAAATCAGTGGTGCCCATTGTAAGGACGAATACAAATCAATAATAAGAGGCTTAATTCTTCTCGTTGGAAATAAAGCAAGAGATTCCCCTCCCCATTTTTCTCAGAGCATTTACCTTAGAAATCTTGTAATTGCACATACTTTTTCATCTCTTTGAAATACATAGGAATCCTTTGGGAAACTAGATAGGCCTTTTGTCAGCTTTCTGACCTGAGTGTCTTTCTCAAACAACAGAGGAACCATCTCTTTAAACATCAGTAGAGACAGCGCCCCCATCTCCGTCCCTGTGGGAGGGTAGGGGCCTAACTTCGTGGTGCTTTGTTCCAAGCTGCAAAGCTACTTCCCGTCATGAAGAGATGAGTAGGGTGTTTTTCCTCCGGAAAAAGTCAATTACCCAACACGGATGATCACCCCAACCACCAGGTGAAGTTAGGATGAACTACTGTGATAAATGGTGCTGTCAAGTCTCTGACTTGAGGACTGGTAACTGTTTACCTTGAGAACAGGTAAGCAATGGGTTGTGTCCACTTGGCTATATAAGCAGGAGTGAGGTGGGGGAGGGGCAGATCCTTTTCCGTCTTTGCATCTCTTAGTGGATTTCCTGTGATGCGTGTTGCTTTCTGGTTTAATGCTGATTCTATAATAAAAGTGTTTCCTTTCTCTACTGACCTTGTGAAAAGGTTTTCTGTGTTGGAAGAGGATTCTATTTTTTAAATATATTTCCCCAACATCATACTGTTATACTGATAAATTATTAAGTATCTTACCTATTCGTCCTACACTTCCATATGCCGTAACCCCTCTCTCCCTCCCTCCCTTCTTCCCTCTCCAGCTGTCCTTCATCTTTTCTTTTTATTTTACTTATTCTTTTTTTTCCCCAAATTGGCATGTAAACCTGTTCTCCAGCAAAATCATTCTGTATAGATGGGGGAGTACATTTATGAAAGGATCATGTCACAGATGACCTGAAAAAAGGTGACGATAGGGACTCAAACAATTAAAACACTGGTTTAATCCAAAGTGTGCTTTTCTTTGCAGTGAGGAAGTTTTAGTACTTGAGAATTTGGAA